CGGATTGGGCAGGTAATCCGGATGACCAAAAGTCTACAAGTGGGTTTGCCGTCTTCTTGGGGTCCAATTTAATTGCTTGGTCTTGTCGGAAGCAGCGGACAGTGGCGCGGTCCTCTACTGAGGCCGAATATAAGGCACTGGCTGATGTGGCGGCGGGGTCACGTGGTTGGTTTCTTTGCTGCGCGAAATTGGCTTTCCTCCAGACTCTGCGTCGGGGCTGTGGTGTGATAATCTGGGAGCAACATACCTCTGTGCTAATCCGGTTTTTCATGCACGAACATAGCATGTTGAAATTGATTATCACTTTGTTCGAGACAAGGTTGCCAAGAAGGAGTTGCAGGTTCATTTTATTTCCACGAAGGACCAGCTAGCTGATATTTTCACCAAGCCACTTGCATCTGCTCGGTTTTCATTGCTTCGGGACAAGCTCAATATTTCGAATGCTCCACCTTGAGCTTGAGGGGGAGTGTTAGGACTCTAGTATTAGTAGTCTAGTAGAACTCTTTATACTTGTCTTCTATATTAGTATTGTACAGACTATTATTCGTTTCAGTTAATCAATACAATCCTCATCCAAACGACATAGTAAGCAATATATGATATTTACAAAGCTAATTTTTCATTTTAAAAAAAATCAATCTAATTATTAATTATAATATAATTTATAAATGGTTTTTATAAGATTGTGTAATTACATACTAAATTATAATAAAAATAAACGTTAATTTAATAAAAAATTGTAATTGATGATAAAATGCAACAATGTGATAATATTATCACAAAATTAAATGTTACACGCGAAATTAATATATGATCAATTAAAAATAAAATAACTAAATGTGATAATATTGAAAGTAAAGTGGAATTTTGCCGCAAAAGTTCTACTATTCTGCTCAAGAGTGGAAACAGAATACAATTGCTTTTTACAATCATATCTTTCTACATACCCATTTCATAAACCATAAAATTTTCAGAAGGCAATTTGCGCCCACCATTTTTTATGCTTTCTTATTTCCTATTCATACTCGTTTTCAGCCTAGTGATGAATGTGAAATAAGTTTCAGGATGATAGAATGTGTGAATTAGATTTCTTAACTTGTATATACATGAAGATTAAGATTTAACCTGTGAATTGATTGCATGACTCGCGATTTATTTCTGCATAGTTCTAGGGGTAGAGTCATGTGAGTTTAGAATTAGTCCAGTAAATTGGATCACTTAAGTATTAATATTTTTTTTTTTAGTAATTTGGATGTAGATGTTGAGCTATACTCGGATGTGTGTTATTAAGAGTGATGTTTATTCGAGGTCTCTACCCTCCTAGTGAATTACTCTGTATAAGAAGCTAAGAGCTTCTCCGGCTAGGGATCTTTCAAAATTTCTTATGCTTTAAGGGAGGTAATAAATGTATTGATTTCCTAACAAATTGTAGGCAAAGTAAAAGAGTGAACAGTTACTGTACGTGCTTATCATCCCCTGAATAATTTGAGGGATCAATTCTGGCTTGATGCTTTTGGCGTCCTAATCCGATGATTCTCTTTGAGTCTTTTGCTGATGTATCAAAAATAATTGTTCCTAAATTAACCAATCATATCCCGTATCATCATATATACCATATACTATTGATAATAATGTTTAATTATTCTTTCTAAAAGGTTGAATCCTAACTCTAAAGGCCCCCCACAAAGCATTTGGGAGAATGTAAATCATGGTAACTCAACTGAACATGAACTATAGATGCTAGACCTTTGCTCACAGCGCACAAGGAGCCCCCCTCACATTGAGAGATTGCACCCACACTGCCGCGGGTGAGACTCAATCACTTGGCCATTCTTTCCAACTTTCACACCAGTTAAACTGCTCATGCAGGCAATAATAATTTTTAATTATACTTGATACTATTGTGGGAGTACATGATGATGAGCGGTATAATTCTCCCAAACGAGAAGTTATATGTTCAAACCCAGTGAGGACAGTATTAGTAGTATTCAATATATATATATATATATATATATATATATACACTAATGTGTAACATTAAATTCTCTATTGAGTTATCTGTGTGAACATGAAGGTACATGAGGGTAAAAATTCCTTTTCTCCCCAAAAGGTTGAATTCCACACTGTCGATGTTTAAACATTGATCTTTTCTCTTAAATACTGTCTACTGGATCAGTGAGTTAAGTCCATTCGAGCATATGAGGGTAAAAGTCCTGTATATATCTACTATCTACTATACTAATAGAGCCAAAGAGAGTTATCTACTATATATATATATATATATATATATATATATATATATATATATATATATATATATATATATATTAATAAGAGCCAAAGAGAGTTATGCCTATAATGGTCAGATTGATCAGATTTTAATTTTTCCTTGAGATTTCCTAATTTATCCTTAATTATATGATTATCCGTTAACTTTCCCGTTAAATATTATTTTCTCAGTTAATTTATGTTAGTTGACCGTTAATTTACTCATTAATTTCAATAAGAAAGGTCTTAGGTTCGAACCTCATCCCAATCAAAGTTGGCATAATTAGTACTTTATTTTACTCTTATTAAATAATTATTTAGTCCCAAGACCTTGTGGTATAATGGCACTCGGGTTGGACTCCCATATGGGAAGTTGTGATTTTGAGCCTCAGTGGAGGTGTTATTGACATACCACATTGAAATAGAGTCAGTAGCTACAACAAAAAAATAATACATATGCATTTCTTTAATTTAGAATTATGTGCCTACAATGCCTTTTTATTCAAAAAAAAATTATTCATTATTAATAAACTAAATAAGAGAAGTAATTTCATTAGTTATATTATCTTTATTTTTCTCTAATATAAAATTTCTTTACATTCAAATTCATCAATTGATTATATTAGCTACATTGTCCCTACATGTCTTTATTCAAAAGAAATTATTCATTATCAATAAATTAATTAAGAGAAATAATTTCATAAGTTAATGGCTTTTTGGTAAATGGTTGTTAGCTGTTAGCTAATTGTGTTAATTAGAGGGTATAAATAGTTGATAACATTAGCTGATTGTAGAAAAGTGTTTGGTAAATTAGCTGATAGCTGTTTGGTATAATTTCTTTTCTCAAAAAGCTAATTGAAAAAGTTGCTTGGAGTAGCTTTTTGAATTTTAGCCTTTTGGAGGTGCAAAAAGTCAATTAACCAAATATTTATATTGATATTTTAACTAATTAAATCAAACAATTAATAGTGGTCAAATAAGTCAAAATTGGTCATTTTTTACCAAACAAGGCCAGTTGTGTTTATTTTGCTCCAATGTAAAAATTCTTTACATTCAAATTCATCAATTGATTATATTCACTACATTGTCTATTATTTTTTTTTGTGCACTATTTTTTTAATTAAATATCAAAGTTATAATACAAAATAATGCTATATATTTTACCAAGTATTTTATTAAGGCCATGAAAAAATTTAAAAAATATAATTAAGCAAATCATATTAACTACTTGAGGGTGTTGTTGACAAATAGAGTATTCAAATCACACAACAAATTGAAGTTGGAAACTATATCGCAATGTTCTTGTTTGACAATCAGTAGTTAGCGTTAGCGGATTTAACTAGCAAATTATATCAACGGTTGGTAAAAAAATATTTGAAAATTTTAGTTGTTTAGATTAACATGTAAAATGACCTAAGGGTAATAATAATAATAATAATAATAATAATAATAATAATAATAATAATAATAATAATAATAATAATAATAATAATAATAATAATAATTGTTTTTAAAAAATAATAATTTAATAAAAGAAATATAATAAAAAAACAAAACAAAACATATGGGGAGCAGAACGTTCGGCTTCCCTTAGTTTTGCCACTTTTTCTACATCGGTGGGAAAAATTGCATGTGAGTCTTGAGCTCCTTAAGGCTCCAATTTAAAAATTAAGTTTGCCCATCCGTTAATGGGCAAGCAGTGAGCCACCGAAACTGGCTCTTGTTATTCAATGAGTCGAAATGGCTCTATAGTAAACTTTTTTTTTTTTTAATATAGAAGTGTTTTGGTAAAATCATTCTAAAAAACGCTAAGTGAAAATATTGTAAATTGCAATTTTTGTATTTTCAGTGGTTTGGAGCAAATTGTTGCTTCAAACGGTTAAATAACCAAACACTTTCTTTAGGATTTGGGTTACATCATATTTATCAATCGTCCAATATCTTTGGATTACATTATAATTAAAATTTTTACAACTTCATCTAAATTCCTTAAATTAGGAATTTCTTTATCTATAATAATTTATTAAACAATAATGATTGAACTAAATGAACACTAAGCAAAACACCTAAAAGACTGGTATCCTTGATTCCTTCATTGATTTTGTATATATGTGCATTCATTAAATATATTAGAACTATTTGCAACAAATTAAAATAATTAGTTACTATTTTAAAAAAATTAGTAACAATTATAATTAATTTCCTATATTACATTGTATTCATATATTATATGAGTTACATATTTAAATTATAAACAAATTTGACTTTAAATTACTTAGGTATGAATTTGTATTGATATACTTTTAAATATTTATTTAACTATAAACATTAGACATTAACTCATTCGTGTCATGCATGTGTAAAATTAAGTATTATATATAGATAAGAACGGAGCTTGATAGTGTGGTGGTACGTTACACATTTTGAGGCGGGAACAAGCTGTAAAGCGAATAATTATATTATTGGACCCGACACAGATTGGTCTACCACGTAGGAATTTCAGAAAGTCATAACAAATGTGTTTTATGTGGTTTTAGTGAAGAATGAAGAATCCATCTTCCATTCTTAGCCTGTAGGTAGACCACCAAGTCAAACTTTTCAAACCTCTGACCAGCAAATAAAAAAAAAAAAAAAAAAGTTTATTCTGATCTCTAGAAATTTTCCAAGTCGTCCTTTCCCATAATTATATAGCCGCTTTCTCTTACCACCTTCCTCTTCATATCATCATATTATATATATATATAGCTAGATTATTAAGGGAGATCAAATTAAAGAGAAAAAAATAATGGAGGGTGATGAGATTGAGGTGCCCAAGTATTTCTTGTGTCCGATATCGCTTCAGATCATGGCGGATCCGGTGACGGCGGTGACAGGAATAACGTACGACCGGGAGAGCATCCAGCAGTGGCTGTCCAGGGCGGAGGAAGCTACGTGTCCGGTGACGAAACAGGCGTTGCCGAGGGACGCGGAGTTGACTCCCAACCACATGCTCCGCCGCCTGATTCAAGCCTGGTGCATTGCCAACACCGGGAAGGGGATCGACCGCATTCCGACCCCCAAGTCGCCGCTGCTCAAGTCTCAGGTGCTGAAGCTCATCCGCGAGACCAAGAAGCCCACGTTCATGGCGGCGCTGGGGAAACTGGATTCGCTGGCGAAGGAGGAGGATGAGAAGAACAGGAAGTGTATGGGAGAAGCCGGGGTGGTTAAAGCCATGGTTTTGTTGGTTTTGAGGTGTTTTAAGGATGGGAGAGTTGAAGGGGTTGAAGAGGGGTTTAGGGTTTTGTGTAACGTGTGGTTATGGAGTCCCATAAACAAGGAGGTGGTGGAGGAAAACCACCATGATCTTATCCAAGCAATTTTCTGGGTTTTGGGGAGTGAAAACTTTGGGAATTTGGCAAAAACCCATGCAATAATGGCCTTAAAAAGGGTCTCATCAGTATCAGTATCAGAAGTTACGAGTTCTATTCTTCTCGAGAAATTAACCCCAGAAAACTTCCAACAACTAATAAGTCTCTTGAGAACCAAGAAGATCTCTCCACAAGCCACAAAAGCCTCCCTCCAAGTCCTCATCGAAGCTTCCCAATGGGGGAGAAACAAGGTGAAGATAATTGAATCCAACGCCATTTCAGAGCTCTTGGAACTGGAACTAAGCAACCCAGAAAAGAGGGTAACGGAGCTAACATTCCAGCTGTTGGCCAGCCTATGCTCCATCGCAGACGGGAGACAAGAGCTGCTGAAACACGCGGCGGCGATCGCCGTGATCTCGAAGCGGACGCTGAGGGTGTCGGCGGCGACGGACGAGAGCGCGGTGCAGATTCTGGCGATGATCGCAAAATGGTCGGCGACGAGAGAGGTGGTGCAGGAAATGTTGAGGGTGGGGGCGGTGTCAAAGCTTTGCATGCTTCTTCAAGCTGTGTGCCAAGTGCATTTGAAGAAGAAAGCGAGGGAGATATTGAGGTTACACTCTACAGCTTGGAGCAACTCTCCTTGTATACAAATTTATCTCTTAACCATGAATGCTAGGTAGTATTTTTTTTTTATTTTATTTATAAATAATATATGTTCCAATTAACAAATTACAAAATCTTCTTTTATTTTCTTCCTTGGAAATTTATATATATACTATGCTTATGCTCGAAAAGTAGAGTTGTATCTCTTATTTTGTAAACAATGCAAGAGATGATGAGTATATTATATGTATAATCTATCCGGTCAAACACAATAAACAATTCGATCTATATAGTTATGAAGGGATACACACAAACAACCGGTCTGGATTACCTAGACACTTTTAGCCTAGTGACTAACGTTACAACCATCAGAACTCTCCTGGCTGTTGCAGCTACTAGGGGATGGAACCTACATCAATTAGATGTTAACAATGCTTTCCTCCATGGTGATCTCCATGAAGAAGTATACATGACCCTACCACCAAGGTTTGTTGCCCCAAAAATTGGAATGGTTTGCAGATTAATCAAATCCCTCTATGGCCTAAAGCAAGCCAGCAGCAAGTGGAATGCCAAATTCACTACATAGCTGCTCCAACTTAGTTTTAATTAGACAATTGCAAACCCTTCTTTATTTACCAAAGGTACAAGTGAGAAGTTTATTGCACTATTGGTGTATGTAGATGATGTGGTTCTAGCTAGTCTAGGCAAATTGCAAATTCAAAAGATCAAGGAGCACCTCCACAATGCTTTCCAAATCAAGGATCTAGGTTCACTAAAGTTTTTTTTTTTTTTTTGGGCCCGGAAATAGCTAGAAGTAAGAAAGGCATTTGTATTAATCAAAGGAAGTATGCCTTGGAGCTGTTGGATAGCACTGGTTTTAGCAAGCCAGTCAGGTCCCCCATGATTCCCTCAACAAAGCTAAGCAAAGAAAGTGGCACTAGACTAGCAGACAGTACTCAGTACAGAAGGCTAGTAGGAAAGTTCCTGTATCTCACCATTACAAGACCAGACATCAGCTTTGCCACACAACAGTTGTTTCAGTTTTTGGATTGCCCTACAGACATTCACCTACAAACTGATCACAGAGTCCTTAGATACATTAAAGATGCCCCTGCCCAAGGGTTGTTCTTCCCAGTAGCCAATCAACTTCATCTGAAGGGTTTTTCTAATTCAGATTGGGCTGCTTGCCCAGATACTAGGCGTTCAGTCTCTGGATTTTGCATGCATGTTCTTGGGATCAGCCTTGATTTCTTGGAAAGCAAAGAAGCAACTAGCTGTGTCCAGGTCATCTTCAGAGGCAGAATATAGAGCTATTGCCAAAGCCTCATGTGAAATACAATGGCTATGTTATTTCTTCAGAGGCAGAATATAGAGCCATTGCCGCAACCTCCTGTGAAATACAATGGCTATGTTATTTGCTGAAGTCATTAGAAGTTAATCTCCATTCGCCTGCTACCTTGTTCACTAACAGCAAATCAGCTATGGCTATTGTTGAGAATCCCATATTTCATGAAAGGACCAAACATATCGAGTTGGACTGGCATCTTATAAGGGAGAAACTGAAGAATGGAACTATCAAATTGTTGCATGTTCCCACCACAAATCAACTAGCTGACATTTTCACTAAACCTCATGCTCCCACTACTTCCACTGCCTTCGTATCCAAGCTTGGTCTACATAACATGTACGTACAGCTTGCGGGGGTATTAGAAGATCTTAATCAAAGTAGTTAGGCAGTTATTATTTTCTGTTAATAGCTGTTAGTGTTCAGTTAGCTTTCATTCTTCCCTGTATATAAACCTTATTTGGTTCCTAGTTTCTGGTGATGAATGATACTCTTCTTCCTCATAGTATGTTATTCTTCCCACCAAAATCTTCACATCTACATGCATAAACATATCTTCGTATTTATCGAGTTATGCAAAAATTCAAAAAGATACATATATATCTTCTAGACATGATACGAAATTTAGACAGCAAGTAAAATAAAACTTACATTTATGTTGAGGCCGAGATAAATAAAAAGTATTGTACCGATCACAATCAGTAACTTGTATATGCTTTAATAACCAATCTCTTCTGGCCTTTGATGCGCTAAAATCACACACCCCACTTTGGAGAGATACATATCTTCTCGTGCCAAATAAATCATGACTAATAATAATTTGGTATATTTAAATAAAATCATTATTAAGAATATGAAAACAAACAGAATAGAATATTTAAATTCACATAATCACATGTACAACATGCACAATACATGCCACGACATCATGTAAAAATTCGCATGAAAATCTTCTTGTACATTAAAAATGACAGAACCAAAATATTTCTGTCATTCTCCCATCAACAAATTCGGAATCTCATTTCAAAAATATTATCGCGATGAGAAACTGTTCTTTCACGCCTGACATCTCGTCTTCAAAACTTTCAAGGCAAGATCAATGATCACACAGATTTGAATCATTAAATTAAAGACTTATAAAAAAAAAGTGAGTACACGCCTAAATATGTCAAATGATACAGTTTTTGTTTCCTTATTTCTTCTGTATTTTTGGTTGTATCTCAAAATATTACAGAATGCACGTATTTTCCCAACAATCTATAAGGGGTTGTTTACCAAAATAGAAAAATAGAAAATTTTTTGAAAAAATAGAGAATTGGAAGAGTGGAAAAATGAAAAATAAAAAAATTATTTACTAAAATTCTCTCTCCAATTGCCTAACTTTATTCCATTCTCTAAAATTATGTACAATTTTAGAGAACTTCATTTCAGACTTTTCTAAATGGGAGAATGGAAAAAGCATGGGTGAACAGTGCTAATTGTTGGGAGGTCGGCTGTTCAGTTCCTGCATACGCCCAAATTCTATTGCTTTCCACGGCTTCTTCCTTCTCATTTCTTTCCTGTACGTTTTTTTTTTGCTTTTCACTGCTTCTTTGTTTTCCCCTCTTACGCGCACATTAATAATTAATTAATTAATTAATAATAATAATAATAATAATAATAATAATAATAATAATAATAATATTATTATTATTATTATGTACAAAGATTTCTTCTTATTATTATTATTATTATTATTATTATTATTATTATTGTTGTTGTTGTTGTACAAATGTTTTAAGGGATGATTGTACTTTTTAGTATTAGTATTGGTGTACAAAATTATTTAGTATTAGCGTATTAAAATTTACATTTAGTATTAGTATATTGAACTTTTTTATGTGATAAAACGAATTATAAAATTATTTTAAAGAAAATCATACTGTATTATTTAGAGAAATGAAAAACTGGAGGAATGAAGAAATAGAAAAACGAAGGAATGGAGAAGGAAAGCTGGAGAAATGGAGAAATGAAGAAATGGATAACTTAAAATGGAAAAACGAAGAAATGAAGTAAACGACTCCTAAGTCTTTGATGATTCAAATCTATAAGTCTTTAATGATTCAAACCTATGTATTAAGACCTAAATATCTCATAGGTCTTAATCGGGTATCCATGTTGCTTCTTTAGGAAGACTAAAGGCTTATAAGAAAGTGAATACAAGTCTCAAGATATCAAATGATTTAGTTTTTGTTCTCTTATTCTTTTTTTTTTTTGTATTACTTTTTTGTTGTATTTCAAAATATTACAGAATTCATGTATTTTTCAACACTTAGTGATATAGATTCATTAGATTGTTGATTAAAAAATAATAATAATGATGAGAACAGGTCAACATAGATCCTTGCCGTTTAAATGCATTATTGAAGCCTCAATCGGCTGATACTAAACCATCATCGTATCCTAATTTAGAAAACAACTAAGGTTTCTTTTGACTTTAGAATATCGTTTTTTTTTTCTTGACGATTTCTTCTTTTCTATAATTTAGATTAATTTTTTTTAAAATGTGATAAAGAAATTAAAAGTCTGGCTTCAACCGAAAGTTGGGTGGGTCGCTGTAGTTTTAAATGGCGGCATGGCAATCGTAGAGGGGCATTTGCTCCGTTGTAATAATTGACTGATCTAAGACCTGCCCTACTCTAAATGCCAATCACCATATATATAACGCTCACTGCATGTTGGATACGTTTAGAGTTGACAAAATCTAGAGAGAGAGTCGTTCATATGTGGCGGACTCTTTCTGTGCGGATGTGCAGTTGTGTGCATTTGTATATATTTGGTGGTGCATCCCTTTCTAAGTACACTACAGTCTACAGATCACTTATAAGTGCATCATACTCTAACACTTGGTACACCACTAAAATATACATAATGCAGAAATTATCAAAATGTTATTGCATTTTTTCTATTAGTGCATCACATATCAGCACTTTGTGATACACCCTAATTCACTCAAAAATGCACCATAGAGCACTTATAAGTGCGTGGCACCCCAACACTTAATGCACCACTAAAATATACATGACGGGCAAGAAATTATCAAAATGCCACTACATTTTTTTCATTAGTGCATTACAGCCGAACACTTTAATTGTGGTACATTTTTTTTTTTTTTTTTTTGAAGTCAATTGTGGTACATGATAGGCTCAATTTATGCCTACACTTTTAATAGTCTTTTGCTATTAGCTTATTAATGTGAAGAAGCTATTCATAATGTTTCATTGTTTTTATTAGAATTCTAGTATTTCATGTTTTGCATTTATTTGTACAATAATTGATAAAATTATATATATATATATATATATATATATATATATATATATATATATATATATATATATATATATATATATAGGGAAGGGTTCAGGTGCAGGTATAGCTTTCCGTGCGGTTGTGCGGTTAAATCTGAGCAGTTGATCAAATTTAGATCAACGGCTCAAATCAATGAAAAAAAAAAAAACGCGTGCCTGGAACAAAGAAGTATAAGCTAAGGTGCACCTTAAGTGTTAGATCTTAATCACGAACTCACGCACTTTAAGTACAAAATCAACACACATTAAGCACAACCTCACACACATTAAGCACAAAACTCACGCACTTTAAATATTAACTCACAGACTTTAAGTTTCAACAACTACTGACATTAAGTACAAAACTCACGCACATTAAGTACAAAACACACGCACATTAAGCACAAACATCACGCACATTAAGCACAAAACTCACGCACTTTAAGTATTCACTCACAGACTTTAAGTTTTAACAACTATTCACGTTAAGCACATCCCCACGCACATTAAGCACAAACCTCACGCACATTAAGCACAAAACACACACACATTAAGCACAAAACTCACGCA